CTTAATTTACTTGCATTCAATTAATTGTATAAAGGCCTTATCAAGCGTGTTTAAATTTCTCGAGGAGAAAAAAGAAAGGGAATATTGCATGGGGAGCTAAAAGTGAATCACTAAAAAAATAGAGGTACCCTTCAGTTTTCATGAAAAAGAAACCTTACCAACCTTAGCAAGCCATACAATGTGGTTACAAATTTTAGATACTTGGAACATTTATAATTGAGGTCTAAACTCCCAAGCTTCGAGGCCATATAGGTAATAAGTCTTTTTGCGATAGCAATAAGCCTTTATATGAAGGGAACTGTGCAAATACTAGCGCCACTAATTTTGGAAAGCATATTAACTTCTACTACCTTGTCAGCAAAGAAACTGTACATGAAAGATATCCATGTCTTTAACACTTCAATATCCATATGCTAGAACTAAATTTTTACCACAAAAAAAAAAAAAAAAACGGCATAACTAGATGCTTGGCTCCATTTACACATTGTGGCTTAAACAACAGAAGCAGAAACAAGCAATTCTGACTTTCAACTATTCAGAACACTACGTCTCATGTATAACAGTGCATGTCACATAGAATTATTAGAAAATCTCTCTGTTCTCCTGGAGTCTGGAATAAACCAAGGAAGAAGCTTGAATGGCAAACTAAAAGGTCAGGCAACAAACTAAATTTGAAGGAGCATTTGCAACTTCTTTCCATACCGTTTTTGTTGATCATATCCTGCAATATTATCCCATGATATCTCTTTGTATGAGGAATATCCCTGAGGTTCATCAAGTCCATAAATTCTCACTCCTATTGACTCCAGTTTAGAAACAGATCTGTCTACTGGTGGACTCCGTGAAGAACCTTCACCAGGTTTTCTTTCCACATTCGTTTTTTGTTTCATCTTCCCACCAGCTAATTGTAAAACAGAAACAAATGCATCTAGCTCTCTGGGACTCAAGCTTCCTTTCTTGATGAACTCAATTTCCTGCACTCATTTATGCCATCTCATCAGCATGAGAAACTAATACTACTAGTCTGTATAAATACATAGCATGACTGCAAAATAAATGACTTACTGCTTTTTCTGAGCTTATGAGTGAACGGAAAATAAGGATGCATAGATTTCCTTCATTAGCATTCACATCTCCTGAATTCCCATCATTCCCTCCTGCTTCCTTCAATTTTTCAAGCTGATTAAATGTTAATTGCCAAGCAACTGAACTGATATAGCACAAAAGATGGTGATTTAATAAACTTCCTTAATAATTAATATAAATTTCCGATCAGGTGCAGCAAAAATCTTATAGTACTAAAGGAAAAAGACACCATGATAGACTATTATCTGTCCCACGCACGCAATACACTTCTGACCAGACCCACCTCCTACTCCTTTTCCTCCA